GTAATAAATAGTGATATTTTCATTCTAGGATCTTTATTTTATCAGTTTTATGTGTAAGTGACCTCATTGTCTCGAAAAATAATTCATTCTTTTTAAAAATAAAATGAAATAATTATTTCTGCTTATTATCATGAATTTTAGGCGCGATAAATTTTATGCGCACGTGACCTCATTATCTTGAAAAATAATCTTTTTGATAAAAATTGTGATATTTTATCTATGTTAGAAATTTTGAATGCTGTAAATTAGAAAAATAAATTTATTTATTTTTCTTATTTATTGTTAGAAATAAATGTGATATTTCTGCTTTTAGTAAAATTGTGATATTTCTTTCTACTGTTTTGAATATTTAGACATTGTAAAATTCATGTGCAAATGACTGCCTTATTATTTTTAAAAAAAATATGACATTTTTGCAATTGATTATAGTATTATTGTGAAATGTTTATTTGTGGATTGATATCCCATAAATTGTGATAATTCCGTATTCTTGAATTTCTATAAGAGTTGTTCTATACATATTAAATTGGCAATTATGCTAGAATGCCTTTACAAACTGCTACCTTTCTAAATTTGAGCCCAAAATATTTGATTGGTTATTTTTGAACTGTTATATAGAGTGATTGTTATTAATGGTTTAAGTGAAATTCATATTAATGATTTTACTGATATGTTGAGTACATGATATTGCTGCTTTCGAATGTTTAAAGAGATTTAGAAATAATTTAAGTATGCAAGTGGACTCATCCGGTTCGCCGGTGAGGTATAAGTGGACCTATCTGGGACGCCGGTAGGGATTAAGTGGACTCATCCGGTACGCCGGTGAGGTATAAGTGGACCTGCAGGGATTAAGTGGACCTATCTGGGACGCCGATAGGGATTAAGTGGACCCATCAGGACGCTGATGGGGTATATAGGTGACCTACTTGGGACGCCAGTAGGGTATGTATTTTGTGAAATCTTTTGAATTATGCACTGCCGTTAAAATGTCATAGTATTTCAATTATTCGAATTCTACTTAATTATTCATTTTTGAAAGGGAAACTGTTGATGCATTTCTGTTAATAGATCTCATTTTGGAAAATATTGATATCTTTCAATCATGATTATTTTTAGGATTATGATGATCACTTACTGAGTAGCCAAACTCATCAAACTATGGTAAACATTTTTTCAGGATAACTACGGATCCATTTTGAGTGCTAGTCAAGATCAACCTTGGAAGATACTGTTATTGTGCTAGCTTTCTTTATTTATTTTATAAGACCCCGCCACTGTAAATTTGTCCTATCAATAGATGTATATATGTTTTGTCTGTCACATCTCAAAAATAACAGTATTGAAAATTCTTGGGGTGTGACAGAGCTCCACCTACTGATGATTCCATTAACAATAGATTTTTCGAGCTCTTGGTAAAAATGTGTGAGAGATGGCGGAGAGAGGGCTCTTTGTGTACTACTTCTCAATGTTGAAGGAGGGCTCTGCAAACAAAGAGAGATGAGGAATAAAATACAGTGAAAAAGGAGCAACAGGCGACGTGGTATTCGAGTAACATGGGAACTAGCAAAAACTGAAATAAAAGTAATCCTCCTATTTTGGGGTAAATCTTTATTCTGGTTTTGAGTCATTTTGGAGATATGGAAAACTCGTTTTGAACCTTTTTATTGAGCTAAACACTATTTTGAGTCAAAACTAGGTTTTGTAAAAACTCGTTTTGGGGTATACAGGGTTCCCTAATGACCCATTATGGGTCGTTTGGGAACCCTATATACCCCAAATCGAGTTTTTACTAATACCTATTTTTGTTGATTCTAGTATATATAAAAGCTGGTTTTGAGCACAATGTTGTTTGGCTGGCTGCAGGAAGAACCCAGAATATATATAAGCTGGTACGTTACCCTAGTTTTTGGTTGTTTTCTGTTAGTGCAAATTAGCTATTGATTCTTAAAGTTGATGATTCGGTAGTACTACATGGCCAATTAAATTATTTTTTGGGAATAAGTTATCCATCATGTAAAAAATAAATTAGACAGTTCAGATATCAATTATTGTTAATGCACCACACTACAATTATCCCCAATATACTAATGAGGTGTCCACTACAACTAAGACTCGCTCATGTTAGAATACAAAAAAGATGACAATGATCATTAATTCTAACCTTCTCACTCGCCAGGAGTAGCAAACAACAGTCTTTATCAGCAAATTCAAATTCCCATCCACCAGCTAAGCAACAACCATACAAACTTTGACCTAAGACTGCCATTATCAACCACCATCGAAGCAATAAACTCAAGTAAAGCATAGAAATACTTCACACCAACATATTGAACATTAATCCAAGAAATAGAATCAATAATATTGATCGGCAAAACCAAGAAACACATCCATTAATAAACAAGAATGGAATGAGTAACAAAGCATGGAAAAGGTCAGACCAGATTCAAAAATTCTAATAGAAATTGTCAATAAAGAACACCGCATGGAAATCATATAGAGATCATCACTTGGAGTTGCCAAATGCCAATAATGTCGCTTTTACCATAAATTAATACCAGCTGAACTTAAACAAATTGTTCCATCCTCCAAGTATTAACATAAACCACAAGAAAGGTATTCACCAAAAAAGAATCACCAAATTGCAATATCAAGGTACAACATCACTAAAAGCAATTCATATACCACAAGAAGGAAACTAGCCAAATAAATGAAAGCTATCACTGATTCAGTAATGCAATATTCAGCTAATCGTAAGCCCATAGAACTACACAAATGATTAAAAACAGAAGATTAAAAAAAAAAACCTTAAGAAACACCAAAATGCAATACCAAAAGCAATTCATATACCACAAAAAGGAAACTAGTCAAATAAATCAAAGCTAATAATGCAATATTCAGCTAATCTTAAGCTCATATAACAACACAAATGATTAAAAAACAGAAGATTAAAAAAAAATATATTAAAAAACACCAAAATGCAATACCACCATATAAGGTGTGTGTGGTAACAGGAACTCACTCACTTCCCAGAACTTGGAAGCTCACTGTACATGTTTTATGTTTGATAAAAAAAAGGAAGTTAAATATGAGAACTTCATATTACTGAAGTTCTCCTCTTTACGTTTAAAAAAACTTCCGTCCTTTTGGACGAAACTTAAAAATAGAAGTTCGTCCTGAACTTTTTGTCCTGATAAACTTGAGCCTCTCCACTTATGTGCGAAAGCGTATTGTAGAGAGAGAAAGTCCATTTTCATGAGAGAGAGAGACAGCAACTCCCTTCATTTCTGTAATTTATGGAACAAAAGCTCATTCAAAGTCTGCCATTTCTTCGAAGCTCCAAGCTCAGTTTTTTTCTTCATGGCCTTTGGTTCAAAGGTTACAGGTCAATTTCATATCCTGTTGGTTATGAAATTTATACCTTAAAACTTTCACTTTTGAAATTTGAGTGCAGTTGATCATTTTCAACATTATCAGTGAGATCAATGGGATGTTCGAGTAATATTTTTGTGTATTTTCCTATTGGGTGACTGATGAGAAGATCCAAATTCTCCCTGTTTGTTTGCTGTACAAATTAGTGGCACAAAGAAGAACTTTAGGCCTGGGTAATCAAAAGAAAGAAAACTTTAGGTCCAATGATCCTTAGAATCAAGAGCTCCAATATGTTTAAAATCTTTCATTTGTTTGTTTGATCATGTGTTTCTTTCACAAACATGGGGTCTAGGTTGCGCATGACTCTGTACACAATTTCTAGGGTTTGGGATTACATGGGAATTGAGGAGCAGTGATTTTGATTGCTGTTAGTGCTTATGTAATGATTTTGTATTGTGCAAATCTCTAATATTTCTTTAGTTTTTGAAGTTTAGGTCTTATTCATTTCATTGGAAGAATCCAGAGGTTCATTTAGTTGTAGGATATGTTAGATTTTAACTGAAATTATTCTTGACAAGCAACAATTAAAAGCTGTGACAGACTATCTACTTCTTATTTGTCCATTGACACAAAAATTTGAAGCAATGAAAGTGAATTTTGATGTTCTCAGTTTATGGTTTTTGACCTTTTCTAAATTTGTGTTGCTTTTTAAAGTTGTTGGAATCTAGCCATATGGTTTTCCGCAGAGAGCATCCGTGGTTTCTTGTATGTGTATTACATTCTTTTACAAACTATGTTTTATAAGGGATTAGATTTTATAAAAAATTGGCAGAGGTGGACTCAAAGAGAATAAATGATATACTTCCATCACTGCAATATCCATGTGTATGAGTGATTGAGGTATTCTGAGCAACTGTTCTTTGTAGTAGTAAGCCACTAGTGGCATTGTGTGTCTATGTATTTTTTACCAATCTCATTGGGGCAATTAAGATCTTTATTATGGAATATAATGTCAAATGAAAGAGAAATATATATTTCAAACAAAAAGCATGAAAGAGACATGTCGAGAGATTTTCCTTGATAACAACAATATCCTTTTCTTTGTCTAGCTAGATCCCTAATGTGATATTGTGTATCCTTAGAAGCCATTTTTTCTCATATGTTAAAAGGCCATGACATAAACAAGTATGCTACAGGGACAATCTAGTGTACTTTGATTCATATACTCAAATGTTTGGAGGAAGCAACACAGAGAAGAGTTGTATCACTGAAGAATTGCATGTCTACCATGATTAGTAGTTCAGACATTTACCGCATGAATCAAAATCTAGTGATCTGATTCACTGTTGCACATTGATTAGCTCAAAGATAATACATCAATTAGCAGAAATATAGAATCATGCTAAAGCTATGGCAGTACTTCTATTTTCCATTCACAACATGTTGCATTATCAAATGTATAACTGCAAAGTAAAATATTTCACTAACAAATAGCTAATTGTGATTTCGACTATATTTCGGGGAAACAATCATAGACTTGCACTTGGGAATTTCCATGAGGATCTTATTCGAGTTGGAAGTTTTGGTCATTGAAGCAAGTAGTTTCTTGTCACTCTACATCAAATACAAGGCAACACTGCCAATGGGATGGTGGGGTCCTTTTCATGAACGAAGTTTGGAATCAGGGAAAATGTGTAGAAGTGAATGATGAGAGCAAGCGTGCACAGAAACTATTGGCTTTTCGAATGACAGTTGGCCTTTCAAAAACTGAAAACTGTCATTTTCCTTTGTCAGTGGAGCATAAAATCGTTTGCCTTATATATTTACAGTGCATAATATTTATCTAGAATGCCTAAATTTTTACATTTTCCTTTTAATAATCATGACTTAAGAACTGAAGTTGGAGTTTCTAAAGGTGAAATCTTGGTATTCTGTTTTAATTTCACAAATTTCAATCTTAGATAAAAGTTATCATTGATGAAAAGGACAATAAAATCTTGATGTAAGTAATGAGGTTAGTTAGCCTTATGCTTTCTGTTGGGAGGTTTGAGCCCCATCTGCTTGTAGCAAAGGTAGGGCACTCTGGGGACACTGTTGTGTCTGCATGGGCTGATACCTTGGTATGTGGATATATGGTCACATCATTTGCATTTTACTTGTCCCAGGCTGCAAAAACATGGTCACACAAATGAAGTTAGGATACCCCTATCTCCTTTTCTTTGCTTTGGTGCGTATGGATTCCCGTTTGGGCTTGTGTTTCAACTAATATGTAATTTTGTTTCTAGGGATGTGACTCAAGCTAGTGACATTGGCTTGTGTTAAGGGATATGCAGTAGCAATGGTGATCTTCCCCTAAGCTCTTCAATAGATGTGCTCCTCCAAATTATCCATTCTAGTGTATCTTGCACGAGATGCTCATGAATTTTGCAAGATGATGAATTGGAGCTTTAAATGACAATATGGATTAAATGGATCGGTTCATAATGCATTTGGGTTATTAATCCGACCCCCTTTATGTTGTTAATGCATAGTTGTCCCCTCCACCAAGAGACATGTCGATTGGATCAGTTATCAATGTTTCTTGCTAATTTTTCAATAAGGTCTACTTTGGAAGTGCGTGAAAATTTTGTCACTATATTTCTACTGCTCATTACCATATAATTAGTTGGTTGTGGATTGGCCTTCTCATTATGTGCCAGCTTAGTACTGGTAGATTCTACTTTGCGTGGCACTCTCAATACAAACTGGTTGAGTCCCATGTTCTTGTTTCCTTGTGATTTCTTACTCATTCGTATTCTGGTTTTCTCCTTCCCTATTGCTTTGCATCTATTTTCTACATCGATTGAATTCTAAAAACATTTATAGGGTTAAATCTACTTTGTATAATTTCCTATGTTGAATGTAGTATTAAATTGGTTTAATAGTTTTCTATGTTGTAAATCGAGTTCTAAGGCAATGCAAAAGCTTTATTTCATGATTTTTCTATGTTGTAAATCTAGATTCAGGGTTAACTGATTGTTTTGAGTGTAACATCAAGTTCCCTGACAATCTATCCGTATTAGAGTGCTTGTTGGTTGTGTGCATGATAAGATATTAGAGAGCTTGTTGGTTGTCAGCATGATAAGAATATGGATGCACAATCATTTGATAGTTTGGGTTCTTGTTGGAATCAGTATACTTCATTCCAGACTGCTGTAATTTGGATTAGCTTGATTCACTGTGAGATTACTACATTAGCATCACCCTAGTTCATGCAAACCTTAAAATTTGTTATATTGTTTTTATTATGGAAACAATCCCATAAAAAATTGAAAAAATTGAATTAGAGCTCCAAGAATGCTCAACCCTCCAACAAAATTTTGGACAAATGCCAAAGATTTAAATCTTTTGGAGCTCCAAATCGAATATTATTTAGAGAAGCCACTTCAAAAATAGTTTATTTGGAAAAGAGGATTAGAAAAAAAAAAAGACTTACTTGGTTCAGATTTTCAGATTAGCTTGGGTAATCCGTCAAAAAAAGTAGTTTTGATTAGCTTGGGTAATTCATATTTTCCTGTATCTCGCTCCTTTACCTCTTCTCCTACTTGCTTGGTTCAAATCTCCACAAAAAACCATATTCTCTTCTCCTAAACTCATTCTCCAATTCAACTGCAGATTGTTTTAGTAATGGGGTAAGGCTGGATCTCCTTACTCTTCACCAATCTGGACCCTTTATGGACTTTGAACACCACCACTCCCAAACCTATCAGACTATGAGACCACCATCCCTAACTTCTTCGAGTTCTGTGATACCAAGCACAGGGATTATTGTCCATGCCATGACACCAAGAGAGAGAAGAAATTTGACACCCATATGCTATTTTTCGGAGACTATTTGCATCAAATGAGTGTTATTGGTTTTAGTTTTGTAGGACTTCTGTTAAGAAACTTTAGTTTCTGGGAATGATCATAGTCAAATTTGGAATTGGAAGGTGGTTTCGGGTTCATAATAAATGAGGATTTGGTTTCAGTGCTCTTGTTGAACACTGATTTCTGAAGTGATCAACTTTACTTTCATGGCTAATTAAAATGTTGTTTGTCATTTTTTCGATATTTCTGTTTAACGAATCCATGTCACATCCTTATTTGAGAAATTGCTTGGATGTCGTTTGGATGACAATTCAATTTATTCATTAACCTTTTCAATGCCCTTTAGAAAATTATTGCTGAGTTATTGAGAATATTATGCTCTCTTTTGTTATGCTTTATTTATGATTCAATAGTACAGGGTGGTTATATTTTTGGTTGAGCATGTACATTTCCAACATTGTCTTTTTTTGCATCCTTGGGAACCTTTTGTGTGCTAAATGCTAAACAGTTCAGCATGTTGAATTGTGGTCAATGCATTCTTATTCTGCTCGTTGAATTGTGGTCAAATGCTAAATAGTTCTGCATTCTCGTTGTTGTAGAACTTGGTTACTGGATTGTACTTTGAGCTTCCAATGATTGCTAAAATTCATTGTGGTACTTTGTTCACAATTATTGATTCTCTTCCATTGTTCTCTTTTGATTCTCATTAGTCACAATTCATGATTTTCTGAAAACCTGTGAAGTTTAGTTGCTATTGCTTACTAGCTTGCTTGTTTTCATTCCTGAATTTGTTCTTCACTCAATGGTTTCATTTGTTCCAAGTATTTATTGAAATTGCTTTGCTATTTTTTTTTTGAAATTGCTTTGATATACAACTATGATGTGGGTTCATGAAATTTGATATATGTTTCTATGATACACAACTATGATGTGGGTTTGTGAATAAAATGCTGAATTTTATTGGAATTGAGAATAATCTTACTTCCCTTTTTGTTATTTTTTATTTTTGGGTTTGTTCAGTTTTACTTAGCTCCAATTATGAATGCTGCAGCTACCATGTTCTTTTTGTCACCTTTCAATTTTTAATGAATAATGCTTATGGGTTCATGAATATAATTAGTTGGGACCAAACAAAGAACTTTTTAACTTCCCAGGAGGTTATCAAACACAGAAACCATGAACTTCTTAACTTTCTAGGGAGGTTACATCGAAATCAGAAACTTCTTAAATAACTTCTAATTTACAGTTCTTCAATAACCTCCAATTTACAATTCATGAACTTGCTTCCAGTTATCAAACGTGCCCTAAGAGATGAACCTAAATTCGAAAGGGGTGTCTACATGATTGCTTTCACTTTAAAATTGGAACTTTGTTTTAGAACTTCACCCCCGAACCCTAGTTCTTCTTCTTCTCTTCTCTTTGTTCCCATCTTTCCATCTTCAGCCGCTGAGCACCCGTCTCTTCGCAGCACGACCCCGCTCTTCTATTCTTCGCATTCAGCCACTGAGCCACCCCTCTCTTCGCAGCACGCCACTATCTCAGGCAGAATCCTCTCTTCACACGCAGCCCCACGCTAGGGTTTACTCAACTTTTCGTGAGCTCTGATCATTGCTATTGATCTTGAGGTATGCTATTGACTCTTATTCTCTCTGTGTTATTGATCTCTGGGTTTGTTTTTGAGCTCTTGAAGCAAAGAGCTCTTATTCTCTCTGTGTTTGTTCTTGAGCTCTTGAAGCAAAGAGCTCTTATTCTCTCTGTGTTATTGATCTTGAGGTTATGCTATTGACTCT